CATATCGAAGGCGCATGCTAAAGAGTGCACGAAGCGTTAGCGCACACTGCGATGTGCACACAGAAGCGGGTGCGATCTAAAGAAAGTCACGTCGTCAACGAAGGTTAGGTCTGACACTAGATCAACCAACCAAAATTTTGCTCCAAAAGCAGTGGATGAAGACAGGTATAAGTCAGGCATGGTGGTTCCGATTACAAAAATTAAGAGAGATGGAGACATATAGTAGTCATATTGTACTGCTCCAGTTATGACTAGACTGGAGGAGAGTTTCTGTAGATCGCGGGACAACTCCGAGAGTATTGAAAACAGGTCGTAGAACAGACATGAATTTCTGTAGACGCGCAATAAAAACCTTGATAGCAACACTGTCAGACTTGAGCAATTGATTCAAAGGCTGCTTGCGATTACAAAGATGTTTAAGCACCGGGCGAGACATAATAATTGAATGGATTCACTCTGTCAGAGTGAAAGTCCGTATAATCTCAGGTTATTCGATTCGAAAAGGTAGATGCGAACCACCCTAGTATAATGCGCGTCGGTAGTTTGGACGCAAGTGGGGTCAGGATGACACCAGCAGGATTTGCACAAGACGATCTATTGTGTTCTATGAGAGAAAATTGGTTAAGAACTGCCAGTCAGACGGTACCACTTTGTGGTAAACGGTGTTGGACAGAAAACCTAAGTCACCCAGTAATGAGACACCACCGTGCATCAAAGCCATGGTGAAAGGTAGGTTAAGCCAGGTACCGTGTTCCGTTTCGGTAACATCAGCTGGGGTCGAGTCTCGTAGATAGCGAAATTTGTTATACAGATGTTCCAGGAGGGTTTAGGCGACCTGACTAATCATTATGACATGTAGACTCGGCAAAATAGCTTTCGATTAAGCGTGACTGAGTGTGAAGCAGTTGTTCATTGTTTTCGGCTATTGTATCATTCAATGGGGTTCAACCTGGACCCGTGCGTCGAATAAGCCAGAACATAGGAATGATCCGAATGGCGCTAGGCTTCTCATGAGCAGGTGTTATCCTCCATGATACTCGATCGATTCCGATAGTTGCAGTCAGATAAAACACACTCCGCTTAACTTTTGCGTCAGTGTAGATTGACGCTGCGAAGCCGGGTTAAAATTTTGCTTCCGAAGCATGAATACAGTGGATGAATAGCACCGAAACTAGATGAGTGTTATGCAGGGACGCACGACAACATGACCATAATCAAAGAAAAGTGGTATCGAAGCTTGCTGGATGCACGGTGTGTGGGATGTATCTCGATGTGAACCATTCTGTTTTAGTACAGTGCTGCGCATGTAGAAACTGGGAAGAAAGCGGACCTCACTGACAAATACCGAGTCCAAAACGGCCAGTGAGACGACAATGTGAGTTCTGAGCAGTTAAAAGTTCTCTTCGTATCATTCGAAGTAGACCAGAGGGTTGCTGTTGGCTCATGTGTCGAAACAAGGAGACATGTAACTTCCAGTTGCGTTTCTCACTGATTCGGATGAACATTGGAATTCGATTCGTCACAGTTAGCCACAGACAGAAAGCCACCACACATCCAGGAAAGCGCTAGACGGCTGTTTTGTCCAATTAAGACCCGTCAATAGCACTCACCCACCGAATCCTCCCGGATTCAACCTTAAGACCTCACTCTTACAGGCCAACGACTTATGCCACTGAGCCATAGGTGACGGCAATGGATCGCCATAATTAATATTTAACGGGGATATAGCGAGACACATTCTCTACTGTCGTGTATGTTATGAAGGTGCGGATGACAAAGTTGGCTCCCAGAGCAACAACTTCCTTTGCAAGCCGCCACCACTCGAGCTGGCATGTGGGCTTCGAAGGCGATTACTGATTATTAGTGAGGGGTAGGGGATTTACAGGGTCTATTGTGAAAATGCGCCGCGGCTAGACTCAGACAGACAGACATCACATATACAAGGAAGCGTTGGATGGCATGACACTGGAGGATGAGCCGCGCTATACAGCAGTCCGCTATTATTCATGGCGGTCCAATGCCACCATCACCCATGGCCCAGTGGCATAAATCGCTGGCTCGTAAGAGTGAAGTCATGGGTCCGAATCCGCAAGGATTCAGTGAGTACGCGATAGGATCAATAGGACGCAACGGCCGCCTAACACATTCCTGGATGTGTGGTGGCTGTCTGCCTGAGTCTAGCTGCGATGAATCTTCTCCAAAATCCAATAAATGCACCTATTACTTACTAATAATTGGAATTCGGAGCATACAGCACGCAGCTGTTTACTTGGGGTCATTATAGAAGAGCGACTTCCGCACGCTAGTTGAGAGCGACTCCGTAACTGGTCACCGATTACGTGACATCGGTGAATTCTGTGTAAGATAAAGATTTGTGCATTGGGACATTGTTGCCCTACATGTGCATTTGGAGGATATAGGAGATCGAAATCACCGTGAGCCTCGCTTCTTGAACGAGCTCAAACAGTGGGCGGACGTTGAAAGGCGCAATGGGAATCGGTACCCAGGTTGGTACAGATGCTGAAATCACGAGCGGCCTCTTACCAGAGAGAGAGAGAGAGAGAGAAATTGAAGAAACGAAACAGAAAAGTAGGAAAGATTATTGACAAAGGCGTGTTGTGGGCAAATAGCAATATGTCCGGAAACACAAGTCAAGAGATTTTTCTCAGGTTTTCACCTCTATACAACACTCAAGAGCATTTTGCATAAAACGGAGTATATCTGGACCAAAACTCGACAGTGGTCATGTTTCATCAGGAAAATTGACAAATGAATTTTTCCAAAATGGAACATGGGGTACGTAACCAGTGGGAAAAAGCTGTTGTACAAAATCTCAGCACTAACAAAGACCGTGTATTTCAGAATGTTTTAACGAAATGGATACTACAGAATACGGATGTCCTTATACGTGAGAATGACTACGACCGTACTAATAATCAGGCCTTATTACAGGATCAGCTTCCGCACATCCGAGGAATGTACGTATTATTATCATTAGTAGTATTACTGTTATTATTGGCAGACCCAAGCAGTAATATGGTGATGTAAGCTTGCTTGGGAGACCCTGCTCGAGGCCGTTAAATCAGCAGTAAGACACACATGGGAATGGGGAGCATGTCTTGCCCGGGTTCAGATCAACCTATTTCCCATCTGGGTCGGTCCGAGGCCGGCTAAACGTATACCTGGAAAATTCGCGGGCTAATTTTGAATGCCGTTCCATGGCAGCAAGTTACCATAAAACCCCCATAAATTGACCACACAAGGGACTGGACCAAAGCGGTTACGATAGATAGGTGGTCAACATACAGTGGTGTGGACCCGTAAAGTTTACATAGTAAATGTTCAAGCAGTGAAAGGAAGACCGATCAACTTAGAGAGGTGGTCAACTTCGAAGGTTATACTGTATACAGCTGTGTAACCACGATAAACCGCATGTTAGTCTTCGCGGATTTGCACCTTCTTGATCAGGAGGGTCTAGCTGAGATGGACGGTAGCAAACTATTGAACATGGATAGTGCTGTCCCGGTGGAACAGGCAACTCGAGGCGCTCGTTCCCTACGCCAACTGAACTGAGGTCACAACCCGCAGGATGCTGCCTCCAACAGTTTTAGACTTCTTTCTAAAGGTATAAGAGAGATGTTGAGAATGAAATGGTCTGACAAGTTAACATTTTCATTATCAATAGGTGGGCCTATTAAGGTTATCGGAATGTGTAGTTTAGTGCAGCTCAAGGCGTGAATACTTCGATGACAGTAAAACTCAACCCGTCGCGATGGGATCTTGGTAGAGCATTAGAATAGATAGGCCCTAGTGTATAAATGTCCAGTTGGATCAGGAACAAAACCAACAAAAGGATAGGCGAACATGGAGTGGTTGAAATTCGAGGAGATCTGCCTGAATTCTGTTATCTCTGCCGGTGGCAGTGAGTGGATCATCATCACCACCAGCAGCAGAAGCGCATTAGTTAGTTGAACTGATGCTTCACTAGCACGCAACCATGAAAACAAAGAGAATCAGGCGCAGCAAGGAGGATTTAAGGCAATAGGTAAATAGTCCGGGCAAATATTCCAGAATAAGGTACCTACACGATGAAAACAGCACAGAGTCACAAACAGTTGGTGATTGTGCACAGATAAGGTGACCTCGATGACACTGCCTCCCTTTGGCTTTCTTTGTCCCGTATCAAAACCAGACCTACCGCATACCGGACCGTTGCGAATGTTACCGCTTGTCCAAGTGACCGGACATTCTAATTAGATGCGGTGCCAAAAAACGTGTTGTACATATCAGTGGTGGCAGTTTTCGTGGGGCGAAGAGCTGCACTTTAGGGAAAATATACCAGAATTGTCCAAATGCTAATTAGCGGTAATTGTGCAAATTCAGATCGCAACGGCAGTAGCCAGAACGCCAGGTTAAGTAGACCGCAGCGCGATTAAATGCCACGGAATGTCGATGCACTTCACATTAGCTGAGGAAACGTGCAATGGAATGCATGTTTGTTTCTCAAGGTGTTTCCAGCTAAACGAGAAGAGGCAAAATATGGCATCGGCAGTACACCGGTACGTCCTACCGAGAATTCGCTGCCACGCAACCACCACCGGTAGCACGCGGGCTAGGGATACCGTGAAGGTCGCCCGGTCCCCAATGCGGGCTCGAAACCGCGACCTTCGGGTTGCAAGAGAGGCGCCTTGTCACTTCGGCCATGGGCGGGCGATAATGTCTAAAGCATAAGTCAACAAGGACAACTCATGTATATCACGAAGTTTCGTGGTGCGATGTTTGTTCTTTGGAGCGAAGTTGTATAAACCCGTTACTCGAACGAGAGGTCGCTTCACCAGTTTGGAGTTCCTAAGTGTTCAGCATTCCGTGTGTGCTGAAGGGGTGGGAGAGGCGTCGAGGAACAGCGTAATGAAAATTCGAAGAACGTTAGTTCCTTTCCTGTTTACTCTAAGCTTCATTTAAAAAGCATCGAGGGGGACACAGGTCAGAGAAGTACTTACCGTTTGAAATTTTTGTGCCGTATTGCAGTTGCAAAACGCTTGATGTGCAGAGCTGAACGATTGGGTGCGCAAACAACTGGGAGGGTCGCGAATCGGCTGCGAATTGAACCAGCACACTTTGTACTGTGGGGCATCCTGAACTACCAAAGTTGCACATAAGCCAATGCAGGTCCAGTTAAGGAGAATATCGTTGGTATTCAAAAAGGTGACCGAAACCAAGTCAGGAGGTCGAGGAGCTGTCCAAGGGAGGGAAGTAAATAAGTGAAAATTTCCATAATCCGTAGTCAGAAATGGGAAACAATAGCCAACATACAGTGCCCATTGGTCTACGAGAAACAAACAATGCGAGTGTGATAACATCCATAAACGGAAGAGTTGAACATTACCGCCGTTCACTAAGTTACCAGTCATGAGTATTGAATATGGAAGAAATTACCCAAGATCGACTTATAGCAGTGCACATCGACCATCTAGTCTTAAAAAACGCCCAACTTATTCGATTTTACAATCCAACCATAAAAACAGCGACAGAGTAAGAGGAGCTCCACTGTGTCCGATAGTCTCAATGTTGGGTGCACCGTATCAAAAGTTGGCACGATGGTTAGCCAGGCTTATCGAAGCTAGCCGACGTGAGCTAACCTGCTATACCCTCAAGGATACGTTGGAATTTGTCGACAAGATACGTGATTTAAACGTAAACGGAAAACATATGGTTTCATTTGATGTTTGTCCGTTGTTCCACAAGGTTCCTTTGGAAGAGACACTCGACATCAAGTCGTTAATCCGTCTGTGCACCAAAGATACTCAGTTCCAACTCAATGGAAGAATGTACCGACAAATAGATGGGGTGGCCATGGGCAGCGCACTTGGACAGCCCTAAATGATATTTTCGTGGGCCACCTGAAGAACACCAAAATTCGTCCTGGAGGATACGTTTGTTGTAGTTGATAGCGCCCATTAGGCAGCATATTTACTTGATGCTCTGAACCAGTGCCATCTTTCGATCATATTTACAGTGGAAAACGTAATAGATAACAGTTTTTGATTTTTGGCTAAGAAGCTGAAAAGAAATCCGGATAGTACACTCACTCGATTGCTGTACTGTAAGCTTACTTGGATGGGAGAGTGAAACATTGAAAAAAGCTAACAGTACAATTGGCAGAGTGGCACAACGTATGGACAAACATAATATTATAATAATAATGGAATAGAGAGGGTAAAGCGCATAACTGGAGTCATGGGGGCAGAGTCTCACATGTTCGCCACTGTTCACGGTTTCGTGACATGTCCGAAAAATTTTATAGCCAAGTGTGTTCATGGTCCTTGGGCCCCCAACTGGGGAGTAGAGAGAGCCCGACCGCAGCCAAATGTGAAGTCAACGCCTTCATACTTATGGTCCAAGTCATTTGCTGATCACCTTGCTTTCGCTTCCAGCCGACCAGTGCGCGCAGTGCACGGTTAGACAAACGCACAGTAGGTATGCGAAGTACGTGCCCAAGCCATCGAAGCATATGCAGTGAAATTATAAGGTTCAGCGGCCGGCAGGATGTCCGATCTGAAAATCCTTCGGCGAACATTCTCATTACTAATGTGGCGTTGTCACCGTACACCAGCAATGCTCCGAAGGTAGCGGTGATCAAAGACAGACAGCCTCAGAACGTCCTTCGCGCGAACAAGCCGTCTCGCAACCGTAGAGCAGAACCGCTATCATCGTGGCATTGTAGACGCGGCCCTTCAATGATAGACTCAAGTAGCGGCGACGCCAAAGATGGCGAAAATTATCAAACGGAAGCAGAGCCTTAGAGACGTGCAAGACTGCATCCGTTAAAGTGTTAGCGCTGATGCAGCTTCCGAGGTAAAAAAAAACTTGTCTACCACTTTCAGAGATTGACCTGAAAGGGTAAGGGTTGGGAGCAGATCCTGGCCAGTCCTGTAGGAAGACCTTACACTTTGAAGGGGCGAAAGTCATTTCAAACTGTGACGCAGACACCGTCAACCTGCAGAGCACATTTTGGGCGGCCTGTGAAGAATCGCAAATTACGGCGATGTCGTCTGCATACTCCCAATCGCAAAGTCAGTAAACCGGAAGCAGTTCAACGCCGCTGGGTCCGCAATGCTTCAGATCGCTCTTCAGGATGTCACCAATAGCGAAAGTGAACAGGAAGGGTGATGCAGGGCAGCCCTGTCTCACGCCAATGGTGATTCTAAAGAGCGGCGAAAGTTCGACGTACACCCGTACTCGGCCAGAGTTTGAGAGTAGATACCTCAAAGGAGGTTGACGTACTTCTTAGGCACTCCCCTTCTCAATAGACAACTCCAGAGAGCAGCCCGGTCAACTGAGTCAAACGCAGCTAGTATGTCTAAAAAGACAAGGATCGTGTGCCGGCCGAACGTTTGAAAACGCTTGAGTATTTGGCGGAGTGTAAAGATGTGATCAATACAACTCCGGCCGGAGCGGGACCCAGCTTGCTTTCAACGGCAGAGCATGAGGCGCTCTTGAGATTTGAGGCCAACGTATCCTGCAACGCGCTGAGAACGCCTGGGGCAGAAAGTTTGGCTACGTCAAGCCGTTTCCGGTGACGCCGTTGGGAGCCACCAAAAGGTAAAGCAACGTTGGCACACACGAGCACGTAGTCCGAAGTGAGGTAGGTACTCCAGATTGATTTGTATTCCTGTATGCAGCCCCGCCAGTGAAAACTGATGATGATGTGGTCAATCTGTGTCCATGGCTAGTCAGGTGACGGAAGCCTCCAGTTCGCATGTTGGCGCCAGGATCGCCGAAAGCTAGTACTCGACAGGAAGAGCCCGTGATCGGCACAAAGCTGAAGTAGACGATCACCGTTATCTGTTCTGCGAGTGCCATGGCCATGCTGACCACCGAGTTCACGCTCTTCAACTTCAAATCTACCCACCTGCGCACCTACGTCCCTTACAAGCAACACGATGTCTGTACGGCGCTTTTTTTGAAGAAGGTCGGACAGTTGACATTAGAATTCGTCTTTAACTGACGCAGCGCTAAAGTCTGTGGTAGCGTATGCTGTTACAACGAACAAACAACGTGCGCTGGCTCCACGCCTGGAAAGTCGCACTGAGGTCTCAAGTCGGATAGTGCAAAGTCGACTGTTGACAGGGATCCAGTCAAGTAGCGCAGCCTCAGCACGTGCGCTTAAGGTAATCCCCACACCGAGAAGACCAGCGGCTTCGGCGATTTCGTCTCCATATAAGCGCAAGGTGAGAATGCCAGTGGAACTCGCAGACGGTAAAATCAGTCGTAGCGTCTTGCTAGGGTCCTGTAGTCGGGTTTCAATGAGGCAGCAGACATCAATGACAATATTCTAAAGCGTGCGAGCAAGAGCTGCTGGTGGTCCGATCTGCATCAGCGTCCGGACGTTAAAAATTGACAGCTTGGATTGGAAACGGGCCTCTAGAGAAGATTTGCCAGTACTACTTGGTGGCGCACCCTGGGACCTAAATTCCTGATCCGTATGGCAAGAACACTCACCCAAGGCGGCTTGATGCTGTGGACTCGGAAACGGAGGGGGATTACCAAGGATGGGGGATCTGAACAAACGTGGAGTAAAGTAAACAAACTGTGGTGCGATAGAGCGCGATATAGCAAGTTCGGCCGCCAGCATCTCGGCGAGGGAAGCGTTGGCAAAAAGCAGAAAGAGAGAGCAGGAAGTCGTGGAAACATTGGTTCATATATTGTGAGGGCATGATACTTCCCGGTTGCCCAGGCCGAGGAAGAGACGGGACAGTACCCCGACTTTAACAGTTTCTGCCTCATCAAATACAAACGAGTACTCGTACGCACTATCCTCGCAAGAGTTCGCAAGCTTTGCTTCCAAGGAACAAATGACAACGAGCTGCGTGTCACAGCAAAATTAGGAGAGAACGGGTATCCGGAGTTCATTCCGTGCCACACAAACAAAAGCAATGGAGAAACGTAAGGGCGAGGTCCCTAAGAAGGTATTCATCAAGCTGCTATTCAAAGGGAACCAAAATGACAGGATATTTCGATATCGTCTCCACTCGTCTATTAAGAAATGCTATTATGCGTCTGAGCTAGTTTTACTCCACCAAGTTAAAATGTTGTTCTGCAAATCTGATCTGGACAGGCCAGATTATAAAGTTACCGCCTCCGGCATATACCGCTTTCATTGTACTTGCGGTAGCAAGTACGTGGGCCGAACTGGGAAGAAGTTGTCCAAGAGGATTTCAGAAGATGTCCCACGTAACCTGGTTTCAAATGGCGCTAAGCTGCCAGCAAGCTCTATTGCAGAGCATATCGTTGATTGCCCCACGTGCAAAGACCCGCGGGAATCGTTTAAGATCCTTACTAGACAGAGCACTGCTCGTCTGCTCCAATTTGCAGAGGCTTCAGCGATTCATCGGCTGAAACCCAAGTTATGTAAGCAGTCGGAGTTTGTGACTACCCTCGCCTTACCCTGATGAGGTAATCGATTAGCTTTAGGTAAATAGAATGATTTCGCGTACTGTTCTACCGTGGTGTGTGCAGCATACTGATTCCACAGATTGTCTGTACATAGCTGATGAGAAGACGCGAAATATCTAAATTCAGATTATGCTGTTTAAATGTCGTTTCTTGTTATTTTGAAGTTTGTGAAGGGAAAATCTTGTAATGAAGTGTAGGTGGCATCGGGCCAGAAATGTGAACAACAGGGGATTTGGGTAACAATAATAGGACGGTCAGTAGTAAGAAGCTGTACCAAAGATAGCAGGGATCACATTTGGCGCACACCCAATGAAATGAAGTACTGAGGAAAACAACCACATAATGTTTATTGAAACGTGGTAGACCAGGAGAAAAAATAGGTTACGATGACGACGACGACAGACAAACAGAAAGGCACCAATAGCTACCGATTAAAGAAGTCTTAAACATCATGAGCAATGTTGATCTTCTTGAACACACGGAAATCATGTTGTAACCTAAGTCCTTTATAATGGAGTGATATCGAGGCAGGATGAGTAGCTGCTGATAAGCCCACAAAAACGAAACGTTGGAGGGCGTGTGTGAGTTTGAACAGTCGATGGAACCACGTACCGTTTCACAGCGTTGAATAGATATCTGTTTCACTCAAAACTATGGCATCCAGTGACCAACAGATTCGCTAGAACACGTGGGATCCTGCGGAGTTCCTGAGACCACGATTATCCAGCGATCGGCGGTGATGTTGGCCAAATGCCAACAATTTAATGTGAACATACCCTAACCATACAAAATCCGAGAACGGGTATACGAGCTAGTAAGTGTCAAGTCTATTTGGGAGAGGAAAGGGAGGATGGAAACAAAGGCACATGAAAGTAGGGAATCGTTTTTTGATTTCCGGCGGTGTCCGTTCCCAAACTGGTTACGAATGGGACTGTAGAGAGCTGTAGAATATTTACCCCTAAAAGCGGAGTATGGGCAGGCTACACCACAGCGTCAACAGCTGTAATAGCACATGTCAAATAGGCACTATTCACGCGGAGGTCCTGAAAACGCGAGCATCAAAAGCGTCGCGTATATGGTGTAGGACGAGCGAGTGAAGCGCTCAGCAACGTTATATCAAGTATCAGGCGCGGCTGGCTGGACCACGCGGTGCGCATACTAGCTCACAGACTCCCGCGTCGTGCGTTGTTTGCGCGACCGCGGTGTGGATGGAAGAAGAAGAGAGGAAGTCAAGCGATGACTTAGTCGAGAGGAATAAAGGCTCGCAGTTCGAAGTTGGCTTCGATTGGAATCTCTCGGTTCCCCGGTTGGGGTCCGACAGATCATGAACACGTTTGGCTGGATACACTTGTTGAGATGACTAGGAAACAACCACAATGGTGTTTGTGTTGTGAATTTCTTTGTCCGTCTCCTCCAACCTAGCTTCCTTCTCCAAAAATGATCTCAACCCAATGCATAATACGATAGCTAACATTGTTACTTTTTTAGTTTTTGTAGTCAAATGTTCAATCTATTTTGTGTTGCGGCACATTAGCTGAGATAGGTTTCCTCACCCTCGGCTAATGTGTATTGATGATGAGCATCAACCGCGGCTGTATTAGGGTGGATGCATCGACAAACATCTCACTCATAAAAAGTTTGGATTGGAACATTGCACGTCGGGGTCGGGACAAATCTTAAAGAGACCATGGGCGTTGCAGACATCGCGAAGGCATATTCACATGTTGTGAGTTGATCATTCGTGTGGAATTAGTACGTTTACCACTCAGTGCGGTGAGAAATAGCGAAACACAAATAATTGGCGGTTCCATGATCGAGTCATTCGCAGGCTGTAAGAGTGACTGCCAAAGAAAATGTCCATGAGTTCCCGACCATGTAGGGGACGAAACACTATACGAATGGGGAGAGTCATACTATGATTACGTTGAAGAATTCGATGAAATATGGCAGAACGAAACACAATCGCCACTGAACCACAACTTAAATGTGTGACGTACAAGTGTGATACCTGGGAGATCTCCCGTATCTGAATTTGAGCAATGGTACCCCAGAGTCCTTGGCGCATAACCGTTGTGTACTACACCCCAATGTGAAAAAAGACGAGGACGAACGGTGGGCTCAAAAGAAAAGCAAATGAAGAAATATCATTGTCTGTGAAGTCATCGATCTAGAACGATGATTGAACACATCAAGTAATGAGCTGCTTAAAAGGAGAGAAAGTAGCCCGTCACTACAGGAGTAAAAAAAACAATTAATCGCATTGGGGATGATGTGTAGATAAGTATGAAGGAACGCAAAGAAACATCCGGGATATGTGAAATGATAGGGATCTACTGTTCTGAAGACGAAGGCGCCGAGCGGGGCACACAGAACCAGTCTGCAGCCAATGGGAGCCGGCCAATGGCAGAAAGCATCACACGCACGCTTTTTAATCCTGAGGTCAGCGGTTCGAGACCGGGCGACTTTCAAAGTATCCTTAGTCTATGCGCGACCAGTGGTGGTTGCGTGGCAGTGAAGCGTCGATACTGCTGATGCCAATGGGTGCAAGATGTCCTAAGTTACCTGTGTTGTCCACCAAGGAAGCATCCGCGCTTAGAAGGATAGCAAAATCGCAATGAAATCGTAGGTTATTGATGGCACAGTGATTAGCAGACTGACACAGGGAATCACAAGCCCCAAGGAATCAGTGAGTGGAGGAGCGTGTTGTCAGATACAGCACGGACATAGCGCGGGGGGCCACGATATCGATCAGTACTGCAGCATTGTGAAGATGAAAGTAAACCAAAATGATTGGAGCCAGTAGCACACAATACTGCATGTCGTTCGGTGAACTACCATATAACGACATCTTTCAAAGTAATGAAAGCCTGGTGGTAAACCAGCGGTAAGCGGTAAGGGAATATATAGCCGGAAGGAAGGACAAAAGACGGTGAGCAGTGAGGTAAATAGTGCAGATAAACGGATAGATGCCAAAATATTAAAAAAAACTCCAAACGGATGTAAATTGAACGCGTAAAGTACTAGTATAACTCGTGGGTCCAGTTCTGAGAAATCTCAAATATGATGGCAAAAAGGTCGTTGTTCTGGGCGCCAGCCCTGTCCTCCGCACCTTCATAACATACACGACAGTGGCAAATGTGTCTCGCTATATCCCCGTTAGATATTAATCATGGCGATCCACTGCCGTCACCCATGGCTCAGTGGCATAAGTCGCTGGCCCGTAAGAGTAAGGTCACGGGTTTGAATCCGGTAGCACTCAGTAGGTGTGCGTTACAGACGAGTCCCAATAGAACGAAACGGCCGGCTAGTGCTTTCCTGGATATGTGGTGGCTGTCTGCCTGTGTCTAACTGCGACGAATATTCAAGAAAGTAGAAAACCACTAAATGGAATGCGACAATTTGGTAGAAACGTCTATCAGATGGTGATACACACGAAGCATACACCACAGTGGGAGCCGAATCCCCCAAATATTCATTTGACCGAACGCAAGCCTGAACAAGAAAAAGCAATGAATTGTTATGGGTAAAAGGAACGATGGAAAGCCCCATTTTGACTACGACGTTATGCAGGCCAGGTAGAAGCAGTTTTGTGCACCATGAACTGTATAAATTGTGAAACACTAGTGACTAGTCAAAGTGAATGGGGTTTCGATGCTAACCTGGTATGTCGGTAGATACCTCATATAATCGGCTGAAAGATCCGAATCCAACCGCTGTCCTAGCTGCGACCCGAACAGCATAGCATGCATTCGGGTCGAGTTCTTCGAATGTGAATTCTTTCTTCTTGGAATCCATTTGGTGTCTGCGAAGACGAAGGGATGCGTCGGGTTCGGCTTGTTGATTGGCACCACATCGATAAAGCTGAAATGTATTCCGCACGCGAATGTGTCAATATGTTGAAGACGCATATGCTGCGGAACAAACATTTCGTCAATATTACCTCCAGGTAGGGATTTAATTTTTAGTGAGGAACACAATGCATCATGGTAACGTCAAAAAAAACTTGGAAATAGAGCGATACGCAGTAAACTCACTTCTAGCTTGTAACCGATAATGACACCTCCGGGGTTCGGCCCGTTTATCCAATGAAGAGTAATAGAATGGCTTGTGGATGAGCTGTTGACTAGCACTGGCGGGTCCGGTACATCCTCTGCAGTCCTGATCAGCAGCTGAGTCATGGGACCCTGATAGGGTCCATTCCTAAAGGCGACTGAAATATTATATCGTGTGTACGGTTTCAAATTCGAAATGACCAGGACCTGTAAGGATAGTCGAGAATAGAGACAAGGTTAGCATGAGCTGTCCTGTATCTGCGAGTCGGACACGATCCAAATAAAACAGTGAGAAGGATCGATCTGTCATAGTCTGCAGTGTTAGCATGGAAACCTCAAAGATGGTAAAATACAACCATAAAGTAGAATCACACGCAGAAATCAAATGCAAGCTGTAGAAGCACTGAAGATCAGCAATAGAGTGACGCAAAGCACAAGCAGCTCTTTGACAACACTTTACGGTGTGGCGTTTCAATCCACTAATGTGGCCGGACTTGTCGAGTTCACTCAAGAAGAGAGTATGAACCAGTGCAAAAGGTCGGTAAACGGACTCACGTGCTAGTTTGGCTCCATCGGAGCCAAGTCGAAAGCGCGTATAAAAGGTTCATATAAAACGCGTCCGAATGGATAGAATATAGGCTCGCAACGAGTGCTTTCGATAGTACTAATAATAAGCACGCATAATATATCTCGATGAGATGCTTAAGGAGAGATACTTTAGGTATCAGTTTGAGAAGCAAAAGTGCAGGACAAATTAGATAAAGCGAGCAATCAGGGTCTTGGGCACTGGAACTGGAACCATGCGTGGAATACAAAATATAAATACAAAATAGGCAAAACTGCAGACCTGGTCACTAGGTAGGATGGTAAAAAAAATGATAAAAGTGAGGCGGCAGTGTCTAGGTATGAGAAAACGATGGTGAAAGCAACGCAACAGCCATTATTGATGCTTCGGCACAAACAGAACATAGTGCAATTGTGACCAGTCGTGGTGACAGGTCAAAACTAATAATCGATCAATATATTCGCTGCATAACCGGTAGAATGAAAATGCAAACTAACAGACAACCCGATATGGTCAATGGCCGATAATGACATCAAGCGTGAAGTCAGTTCAGTGTACTAATGTGCAGTTTAGAACTGTCTGATTATGAAAAGGCGCACCCAAGAAACATGCAAATATCACCAGAATGCTTTACACACGCAGTTCAAGAAGAGTGTGTATGGCAAATTGTAGTCGCACTTCAATACCTCCAGTGGCTTGGAAGAAAGATATACGCTGCCATACCCTCGTACTTCAACTTCACTAATGAATAAGTGTTGCAAACTGCATTCATTAGACTAGAATTAGAAGGCGTGGATTTCCCTCCAGGAGATCACAATCCCTAGCTGGACCATGCTGTCTTAATATGTGACAGTTTAAAAATCTGCAAAGCTGCAGCGGAGAAATTAGGGAACTAATTGGCGGTTGTTTTGGTCTGTGTTTTGCACCCTCAAAATACAATCACTTTCACTAAGATTGGCTAAGGTCAACCCGTGGACTGACCGCTACTGTGTATCAGCTAGAAGTCGTTCAGCTGTATCAGCACCGGTGGAATGGAAGATGAAACGACAAATCGAATAGAGAAAGCTCGTGGCACTCTTGCTAACGCTTGCCACTTCAAGCGCCGGCGCGACACACTACCTTTATCCTGAAGAGTAGAGATCACAATGCCGTACGCCGTTGTGAAAACCGGACCGCCAGCTCGACAGATGTAAAGAGGCTCGTTGCATTCGGCCATCGGTGTCTTTGAAATCTAAATCATATGTAATCGGAACACCACGTGAGCAATGAACCTGCTACGCGTAGAAAGATAAGTGAACCGATCTGCAGGTTTATTTCACATACCAGGTTCGGATGGTTGGGCCATATGTTATGCGTGCTGGTAAGCTGACTCCCGTGGTGCGCATTCAATGCGCGGCCGGCTTTTTATTGGGAATAGATAAGAGGAGGCTAGACGGTGACTTGATCAAGAGGAACGAAGGCTCTCAGTTCGAAGTTGACAACCGTTGAAACGTCTCCTGGGTTTGAGTCCAAAAGACTGCGAACACGTTCGAGTGGAGACACTTGCTGAAATGGCCATGAGCCGAACTCAATGGTAGTTACCCTGTGAGTTCCGTTATCCCTTGCCTCCTCTTCCAATCACGATCTCATTCTCAAGGCATAAGAAAACCTAGGCATAACGCTATTTTGTTTCTGCTTTTCATTCTTTGCTTGAGACTGTAATTATAATGTATAGCTACACGATAGCTGAGGTGTTTATCACTTCTGGCTAAAGTGTGATGTTGATGTCCTGTTTGTTACTCATACACAGGTTAGTTACGTACGACGAAAACCACTAGCTGCGATACTATGCTGGTCCAACTCGATAGCCGACATAGCAATACACGGTTGCGCACCTCTCAGTAGTGACAATGCCCGATTATTGGCTATTACATACAGTAACACCTTCGAAGTGGACCGCCTCTATATCCTGACCATCTATAAGTTAATCGGTTCTTTCAGTGCTTGAAAGTTCACCATGTAAACCTTATGGGTTCAGGTTGACCATCTCTCTCTATGTTGGTCTCTTGAGTTGTCAACTTATGGAAGTTTCACTGTATAACGAAAAGTAGGCTTAATGATGTCGATTAAAAAACGAAGTAGTGAAGGGACAAAGCAAATTAAGAAGATGCAGAAAACAGGAAGGGGCTAGTGTGCCTCAGAAATCATAATATTATCAGCACTGATTGTAAGAGGAGCGGCGATTCCAGAGGACGCCCTTAAAGTTTACAAGAATAAGAGATACACAAATCAGACTAAGCAGGTGGACGTGGGCCGAAGCGACGAGTTCAAAAGAGAACACCCTTCCTTCGTTATCAGATAGCGGAAGACGAATTAAGAACCCGCATGCAACAATAAAATAGTTATCACAAAGGCGAATTCAATAGTGCGCTGTTAGGCATTAACGATAGGGAGGAGTGTGTATCTGTCATAATACGTGCTCAGAGACAGGAGGAGAATGATAATCGAGTACTGAAATTAGTGGCATCACGGTTGCAGGGATCGACTGCGATTATCAGTTTGGCATGCATCAACCCAAAATCGCCTCGCATGTGTTGTTCAGAGTCTGAAACGCAACCCACTTGGGCATACATGTCACCTGCAACACACACGATGTCGGTGTTTTTCGCCCCACAGAGAAGGGAGATGATGATATAAATCCCCTATGATACCCTCCGAACTGCAAGACAGTTGGGACATAAACGGAGGAGATGAAAAGACACGTTATCTTCATACAGTGCCTATTAATTCCAGTGGTGGTTCGAAGTCAAACCACGCCCATGCGGCTGTTCACTGGAATCCAGTCGAGTAGATTTCCTACAGCGTGTTCGGTGGGGACGGTACGCACATCGGAAGCGCCTTGAGTCATTGACCCGGTATCACTAGAGACTTGAAGAGCTTAGTCAAGCGGCAGATTCAGAGCCAAGGAGTGGATTATCCGTCAAAACGCTGTTATCTTGTATGCGTGTTTCGGAGACACAACACACATGAATGTCAAGTGAAGAGTGAGAGTTAGTTCTGCCCACTGACCGAACTGAACTAGAGTGTGGGCGCTAAATGGACCAATGTGAAACAAGATTATTTGATTGATGAAAGAGTTACATGTAACGATGACAGCGGGTGCGAGGTCAGCGGCAGTTTCTTGCTCAATGGACGGGAAGAAGAGTTGAGACGGGAGAAGAAAACAACAAGAGGGAGTATTGTCGACGAGGTGGAGAAGGTAGATGATACTCTACGGCTGCACATTCGAGGTGCCCAACCTCTAGTAACTGACTCAACAGAATGTGTCAAAGGGAAATGGGAGCAAGTCCAGCTCGGGAGTGTGATTACAGAGACCCATTGGGATCACCTTCATGCGTCAAACACGACGATTGAAAACTTAGGGCAATTCACATGTGCCTGACTAATATGATATGTTACGCACCCATGCCCCCTGGTTGAGTTCGATTTTGCATATACCATGCGTCTTCATCGTAGCTCGGCTACACCGACTGGCATTTCACCTAGACCTTCACAGCCCGGATAGTGCATGCTAGTTTATTCAATTTCATCAGTTTTGTTATACGGCTGCATATTTCATCTCGATTGTGCATGTCTATTTTCCTTCAAAGTCTGTGTTGGTAGGTTGATATCCCCAGTGTTGCAGCGTTTCAAATGAATGTTGACAAAGTGCCTACCTGTCGAAAAAGCGCCGAATCAGTAATATTGGCGTCACGAGACAGTTGGCCATTGCTTGGGGAGACCGCATGCACGGTCTTCGTGACTAAGCTAAGCTCAAAGAGTGGTTCAATCCAGTGTAGAGCGAACAACGGGACAGCCACCGCCTTGTGTACGTCTGGTACGCATGATGCTGCTGCTGTGCATGTTGAAAGAGTGCGGGCCGGTTCCGTTGATGGAACGCGCCTCCCAACCATATGCTTCCCGGTCCTATTCTTTCGGATTTATCTTGGATATTTAATGTGTGGATGGAGCTGTGGGTGATGCAGCGCAAGTTGCCCATAGTCCCTCTGTAGGTGCAGCTTGGCTCTATGTCTAGTTACTAGACTGTTGAGATTACATACATACTGTAGGTGCAGACACAATGTGGAGGTTCTATGGAGGCAAATTAGGGATATGATGCTGCCGACCATATAGCAAAAGCGTATTGGATAAACAGAGAGCTATCCAAAACCATGGAAATTAGAGATGACAGGTACAATAGTCACGCTGCATTATCCACAAGCTGTTTTTCCTTTTTGTCCTTTTATAGGGCTGAGTATCAAACATTTGAACGAATACAATTAGAATGCGTTCAATTTATTAAAAACAATTATGTACACAAATCTCCCACTGCTTCAGTCGCGTCTCATATCCTGAAGTGCTTTGAGACGTCGGCACTCGTCAATCTTTAGTGTGCAACCAAACAGGCTTGTGGATCCTACAGTAGCAAGGCATGAAGTCAACGATTTTATGTGCTGTCGCCAAGTGCACGGCTGACCACCACGTAGTCTCTCCTACCGGAGCGCTGCACGAACGAACAGACCACCATGTGGCAAACGTACAGATGACATACGCAGAACGTGACCGAGCTATCATAACTAGAACAGCAAAACCAGTTTAGTGAATGGAATACTCGCACTTCCTA